GAAGAAAGATAAGCATGGACACTCCATACTGGACATCTACTGTTAGATTTATTTTGGAGTACATGTAGATGATATTTTGTGTAAAGCTTCAGTAGACAAAAATACAAGTTTCTACAGACACTACTACAATGCAAGCAGCTTCATCCCCATATTTTCCATCACCCTGTGTAGCATTCATCCATACCATTTGAGCATGGCTTTGCACTGTATTCAATATTTTATATCCTTTTATATTCCTTTCATCCTATCTTGAAATACAATTCTTCAAAGAAGCTATCCCTAGAACAGATTATTTTTATTGTAAGAAAATTTTAGTTTTGGATTGGCATTACACTTTCATTAAACCTTGTTAAATCAAAAGAAGCCATATCATGATCAGATTGTATCAAGCAAGTTTATGCTTGGTGACATGAAACAAGTCCACACATTATTGCAGCCTCAATACCTTTATATTATACATGTACATGTAATACCCATTGTAAATACACATGTACCTACTGGTATTATCTATGCAACAAACAACACTGCCTACAAAAATACATCTATCTACAGACACACATCAAAATCTAGTTCTCTGTTATCTCTTTGAGACAAATAAGTCTGACTAGAGCAAGTATGTATTATGAAGAAAGAGCTGCTCTTTTACGTTACAGTTGCAGTTTAGATGTCTAATATGTACTCAACAGCAGCAACCATCACATTTGGTGGTGCAGATGGTGGCTTTCAGTACTGCAGATAAGAAGAGCATGGCTTTTCTTGATACATTACTACAATAATAGTACAATAGTACACACATTTGGTCCATTACAAGTTTAGGATCCCTACCTGAACCTGTGAAGTTACCTTATTTTTTGGAAAAAATGTCAGTATTGCCACTTGTTTGACATTATGACTGGTACATGTACCTTATTTCTGTTAACTTTGAAGCGTTATCTAAATAATTGTTTTGTCCTCTCAGTTCAAACTTTTGGCTACAGACTCGGCAAATGGTTGATTCTCTTGTGAACATTACTCTGGTGAAGAAGCACAACATCATTAAAAGTTCATGAACACTGATTGTCTGTTACATACACACATTATGTTTTACGACACTTTGGGTAAATCTTCAGTCCCTTTAACCCTTATATTAGCCACATTTGATTGACTTGGTCCACATATATTAAAGAAGATGGTCTCTTACAACCTACACTGTCCACTTTGCTTGTAATTTGTTCTATCATCCTATGCTAACATCTGGCATTCAGTTGGTACTTATATACTGGTTGTACAGTACTTACATGGAGACATAATCACATAGCCTGTAAGTACACATGTAAGGATGTACATGCAGACTCCTCAAATAAAATGGTAGCATATATCATAAACTATCATAAACTATATGGTAGCATATGTCATACAAAACAAAGGATCATACAAAACAAAGGATCATAAACTCACCAATGGAAACTAATTACTAATTTAACAACAATAAACAATTAATATAGCATAATGAACATAACCAATAGTAACACTATTTGTAAAGTACCTATATTTACCTTATGATATTCTAAGGTACAAAGTTGTGAAAATCACTGCTGTCATTCAATTCAATGGAATCCAAAATTATTCCTGAAAGTTGTGGCTGTAGAGTGTATCCTTCCATATCTTTCTGGCAAAAAGATCAACAAACTTTCTTCAACAATGAGACCAAAATTTGACAATTGATGAGAAGTAGCACCGTTCAAATGATTATTAATTCTGGGGTATGTGATAGCTTAGGTTGTCCTTATTGAATGCAACCTTCCCAAAATATTAGTCTTTTATTTTTAAGAAATATGCCAAGAATAATGGAATGCTGTTGAGGGATATAAGGGCTCATCTCCCAAATCTGTATGGTTTTTTTCTTTAACTTCATTTGTATAAAAATATCTTGAAGTATGAAATGAAAAAAATAAAGACTATTTTCTTACTTTGTTACAGTTACTGTATACAGTAAATGCATGGTAAATTATCAATGGTAATCAATATAAGCTATCATGTGAGAGCCTTTAGAAGTTAAGATGAGAACTTTTTCAGTCAAGAGAAAGTTTTGAATCACAAATGCAAAAACATACAAAAACACAAACATACACACACAAATTATAACTAAAAATAGCAATATTTACAGAAAATGGATGTAACTACACCAAATCAACCTCCTCCTCCTCTGGTTCCAGGTCACAAACCCCCACAAAACTGTCCTTCCCTGTACTTGCTCCCCTTGGAGAATCCATCTGACCAATGGCATTGGCTCGCTTCTCGCTCAGGTATTTTTCCAGCTCACGGATCACGGCGCGGGGGTTTTTGTTGACGAATGTTGTTACGTCTGAAAAATTGAGACAAGCTTCAGTGCTGGTATGATTTATAACAGTCATATAACATAACATAACAACACTAATATTTAGGCTGTCTCTGGAGTTGATCTTCATCTACAGACAAACTTTTCATTACATACACACTTGGCACTGATCTACATTCACATTTACATGCATATAATACAACCTATAAACCCTGATATGGTTCCTTGTGGTGTTCAACATTCACACTGACCCAACAACGCATGTCCTTGGTGCTGATTAACATTCACACTGACCCAACGACCCATGTCCTTACATGTAGTACTGACTCGCATTTACACTGACACT